ACGCAAGCTTCGTCTATGGCTCAATAGGAACAAACTCCATACACGTGGTCTGGTGAGAGCACAAAAAGGCTAAACCTTTTCTCCAAACCCTTGTCGAAATTAGAGCTCTTTTTTTGGTTTTTCTCGAATCTTGCAAATGTTTTTCTTTGTCTTCTAGAGAGGTACTGAATCAATCACGTCCAATCTGATTTTCCTTTTTTCCCGATCTTATCAATTCCAAGTTCCTTCACAACTTTCTGGTGTTCCATGGATTCTTCTTCGAGGTGATATCAACAAAGTTTTGTTTTTTTTCTCTTTCTTTCTAGATTTGTGTAGGAATTGTTTTTCTCAAGATTAGTGGGTTTTTCTCAGATTTGGGGATTGAAATCTGGGTTAGGTTTATAGTTGATAACGACGACAAATTGTAGTATTAATATGACTATAATGGAGGAGAAGCAGATCAGTCCAGTGGAAGAGAAGCAACAGAGCTTTAATCAGACCAAATCCATGGAGAAACAACAGAGTTTTCGATGTGTAGAGAATCAACCGAGAAAGTCGAGAGCTTTAGAGAAACAAGTGAGTTTCCAAGGCGTGAATGTAGAGAATCATCAGCTAAGCAGACTCGGAAGATCAATGGAGAAACAACTGAGTTTTCGAGGTGTGAGTACTGTAGAGAATAATACTCATAGTAAACGTGGAGTTTTGGAGAAACTACCGAGTTTTGGTAAAGCATCATCAATGGAGGAGAAGCAGAAAAGTTTCCGAAGTGGGTTTTTAGAGAAGCAGAAGAGTTTCCGTGTTGTGATGGAGAGGCAATTGAGTTTCATTGGTGAGAGGAGGAAGAAGAATGAGTCACCTGGGAAAAGAGGAGACTCGCCTCTTCATATCGCAGCTCGAACCGGGAACTTAAGCAAAGTTAAAGAGTTGATTCGTTGCGGTGGAGAAGAGTTGAAAGAGTTGTTGTCAAAGCAGAATCTTGAAGGAGAGACTCCACTTTATACAGCAGCAGAGAATGGGCATTCAATTGTTGTTGAGGAAATGTTGAAGCATATGGACCTTGAAAACGGTTCAATCGCTGCTAGAAACGGGTTTGATCCATTCCATGTCGCAGCGAAACAAGGCCATCTCGGTAAAAAAGTTTTCTTCAGTTCAATGGGAATATAGAACCAACCATAAATGGACTGTTCTCTTACTTGGCTCGTCTTCTTTTTGCAGAGGTGTTGAAGAAATTGTTGGAGACATTCCCAAATTTGGCAATGACAACGGATTTATCGTGTACAACTGCTTTACACACGGCTGCAACACAAGGGCACATTGATGTGGTGAACCTTCTTTTGGAGACAGACTCTAATCTAGCTAAGATAGCTAAGAACAATGGTAAAACTGCGCTTCACTCTGCAGCACGGATGGGTCATGTGGAAGTTGTTAAATCATTGATAGGTAATGATCCTAGCATTGGGTTTAGAACCGATAAAAAGGGGCAAACCGCTCTTCACATGGCTGTAAAAGGTCAAAATGATGGGATTGTCATTGAGTTGGTGAAACCTGATATTGCGGTTTTGAGCGTTGAGGATAATAAAGGAAATACGCCATTGCACATCGCCACAAACAAAGGCCGTGTTAAGGTAGTGCTATTTACTTACTTAACTCAATGATCCAAACTCGTATTAGGCAAGTCTAATAGAAATGATTCTTCATCATGGAATGATCTTTATCCCGTGTTTTTCCTGACGACTTTAACTCTCATAACTGTTAATTGAATTCTCTGCAGATTGTGCGGTGTTTGGTATCTTTTGAAGGCATTAACCTCAACCCAATAAACAAAGCTGGAGATACGCCACTCGATATCGCTGAGAAGATAGGAAACGCGGAGCTTGTGTCTGTTCTGAAGGAAGCAGGAGCTGCTACTGCTAAAGATCTAGGGAAGCCTCAAAACCCAGCTAAGCAACTGAAGCAAACTGTCAGTGACATCAAACACGAGGTACAATCTCAGCTTCAGCAATCCAGACAAACTGGTGTAAGAGTCCAGAAGATAGCAAAACGACTCAAGAAGCTTCATATTAGCGGTCTAAACAATGCTATAAACTCAGCAACCGTCGTGGCTGTGCTTATTGCCACAGTGGCTTTCGCAGCAATCTTCACGATACCCGGTCAATATGAAGAGGACCCGTCCAAAGGATCGTTGCTAGGACAAGCTCATATAGCAAACAAAGCACCGTTTCTGGTGTTCTTTGTATTTGACAGCTTGGCTCTTTTTATATCCTTAGCTGTTGTTGTGGTGCAGACTTCAGTTGTTGTGATTGAGCAGAAGGCGAAGAAGAAGCTTGTGTTTGTGATCAACAAGCTCATGTGGTGTGCTTGTTTGTTCATATCCATTGCCTTTGTTTCTCTCTCTTACATTGTTGTGGGCAAAGAGGAGAGATGGTTGGCTGTGTGTGCAACGGTTATTGGCGGCACGATCATGCTGACCACGATCGGTGCCATGTGCTACTGTGTGGTGATGCATAGGATGGAAGAATCTAAACTGAGAAGCATAAGGAAAGAGAGAAGCAAGTCTCAGTCTTTCTCTATGTCTCGTATGCCTTCTGATTCGGAGATTCTAAATGGTGAATACAACAAGAGAATGTATGCACTCTGAAGAAAACCGGTGTGTAGAGAATTTGGACATACAAGATAGCCTCAGAATGTAAGAATAACCATATATATACTTGTATTTTTGTACCTGTAAACCCTTACTATTCGATGTTACCTCGAGCTTCTCGAGTTTAACAGATCTGTAATGAGTTTGAAGTATCAAAGCAATCTACACTTTTTCTGATATCCAATGTATCAAAGAATGAAAATGAAGAAACTATAACCTGATGAAACTCGAATCTTAGTTGTGAATATAAGAAACTTGATCTCCTACTGGTTCTGGGTGCATTTGATTTGATGGCATCACAGTTCTTCAGCTCCAACACCTGCCTAGGATCTAGCTATAGTTGTGATGTTAACATGAGTCATCATTAGCCTCGCCTAGAGGAGTCATCGGTCCTGTGTCTGTTGCTTGCACCGCGGTTAGATTCTGTCTGGTAACGGCTGGAACCTTCTAGACTCTTTGTCATGCTGGTTGTTTTGGAATGAACGAGACTAAGTGATTTGGCTGCTGAGGCGCAGTGGCGGACTTTGATAGAGTGGCTTGTTGTTTTGGTCGAGCAGCTTCCCTGGACGATTATCATCAGGGTCACTTCTTTGTGACAAGTGTCTTCAGACAACGAGTTTTGTTGGATGCTATCAGCGGAGTCATCTGAGTGAAAGTCTTCGTGATGAACCTTCACCTGAAGTGAAGCATCTGCTTTTATAATCCCAGCTCCTGGAGAAACCTGAAGAAAGTGTTTTTTTGTTGCAAATCTTGTGATGAAAAATGGTGAAAACAGCTATTCGTTGGCAACAAAATTAGAGAATAAAACCTCGAGCCATCGAGGTAGACCAAAGGTGCCTCTTGAATGATTCTCGGGTCCTTCTCCATCATCTCTAGCGAGAGTCTGACCCTTACAGACGATGTTGAAGATGACTCTACTCGAGTTTGAAAAGTTTGTGATTGTAAAGATGAATGTGTCCTGACTCTGAAGAAGAATGTTGTTGGTGCTCACTGATGTTTTTGGAACCGATTTTAGTTCTTCAAACATGGATCTGAGTTTCTCATTGGACTTTATTATTTTCCCAAGCTCCTGTCTTCGCACAGATTTATCGGTATGAGCTATATTAGCATGAAGTTTGCAACGCACGGGTTTGTGATCACTCTCAGTCACATCCATGCAAGCTTCGTACCTATAGACACAATGCTTAG